ACATACAAGGTTTGAATTTCCCCCAGTCTGTTGTGGTGAAGTGAGTTCCTTTGGGGATAGTTTTGGAGCTCTCTGTTCTATATCCTGAGTCTCCCTATCTCTGGGCATTTGCTCCCAGGCCTGGGGGTAGTGACAGTGCTACAGTTCCTTCTGAGTGACACCCCTGCTTTAGGAGTAAGGCAGTAGCAGCCGTTTTTAGTTTGCTGCCTTCATCCCGGCAGCCCATCTTAGGAACGAGCTGGGCACTTACCCTTCGGGATTCAGTATTTTCAGGGTGCTGCATTAATAAAACTCTGCCCTATGAGTGGGGCAGGGCAGAAGGAGAGAGAACATTTTTGGCCACAGTTGTCTAGAATTTAGACTCTGTAACACATAGCTGGGACGGTGTGTGTGTGTGTGTGTGTGAGAGAGAGAGAGAGAGAGAGAGACAGAAATTCGAGTGTTGTGACCCTTTATAGAAGACACCATCACACTCAAGTGGGAGCTGTGGGGAGTGGAAGCTCTGTGTTCTTTCAGGCCCTACTTGCATTGGAGTCCCTCACTTTGGGTAAGGAGGGTGGAAGACAGAGCACTTCGTGGCTTAAAGCCACAGGCTGTCACTCATTTTACTACACTTGCTTGCATAAGTGTGTCTTTATTTGCCATGTGTCTTCAGGATATTTCCTAGACAATTTAAATGGATGCCTTATAAATAATTTTCATTACTTATGCTTGCTTCACATGGGAGCTGATCCATGGAGCATGTAATGCTGTCATTCGGGAAGTGGGGTGTTCAGGTGTTCTTTGAAATTCTTTCTACATCCTGCTGGGTGTTCTTTATACATCAGATAATTTCAATTTAAGAACAAAGAAGATATGTGAAAAGTATGGGAAGTACCCCTGGTTGGAGTTACAGTCTTTTATGTCTTCTTTATTATTATTTTTGCCTAATTGTCTGTGGAATGATGCAAAATGTCAATTTGCTAGGGCCAAGGGGATGGGTGAAGGGGAAATAACCATTTTTTGGGTATACACTTTGTTTTCTGGGTGATGACAATGCTCTGGACCTAGACAGGTGTCACAGTTGCACATCATTGTGAATGTATGAAATATCACAGAACTGTACACTTCATAATGGTTCAAAAGGTGGATTTTATGTTATATGACATTTAGCTTAATGGTAAAAACACAAATCGCTCTCCAGATGTGGCCATAGTTGGTTAGCCCTTGGTTTGTACCATAGAATTATTTCATACATATTTAATTTCTGCGTATTTAAGAGGAAATTATGTTATTATCATTTATATTTGAAACATATTGCATTTAAAATGTATTAACTGACATGAATCCTAAAATCATTGTGGAAGTTTTTCTATTTATTTAAATGATAATAGTGCAAATTACATATTAGTATTATAGCAACTGTTTTTCGTGCTTTACAATGTTATCACACTCATCATTGCAGCAACCTCATGAGATGCACAGTACCGTTAGTTTAGGTGCATTTCATTGGTGGGTAAGCTGGGGCCTAGGGCAGTGAGCTGACTAGCCTAAGGCCCATAAGTCTGTAGTGGGGTTCAGGGACTTGCATCCAGGCTTTCTGAGTCCAGACTTCAAGCTCTTATCCACCATGCTATGGTGACTCCCTTTTCTGGGTTACAATTACTTACAAAATATAACATTTAAATTCCCATTTTTGTACCCATATCTTGATTGAAATATTATTACAAAGATGTAATTAAAAGTATGTAGAAGTATTTTCATCCCATTTATTACTTCATAAAATGGCCCTTAAATGTAGGAGCTCAGAGCAATGATACTCATTTGATTTTTCTCTCTCATGGTTCTGGGTTTTGGCTGGGTGCAGCGAGGTGCTTCTTAGACATAGTTTTCCAGGTGGTTACAGCCATATGGTGGTTGGGAAATATCTATCGGGTAATCATCGGAAGGACATATCTGGTGATTGGCAGGAGAAAACTCAAACTTCTAGAGGCTGGAACAACTGGCACTCCTTAGGCATGTCTGTGTATCTCTCCTTCAATGGTCTGTTTACCCTGGACACTTTGGGTATGGTACAGGGCTCCATGGTGGGCAGGGAGATCTCTCCGTGAGAGAGAGAATGACAGAGAAAGAACCAGAGACACCCACACAGACAAAGAGAAAGAGGTGCTTCATCCTGGAACCGAGCCTTGGAAGTTAAGCTGCAGCACTTGTGCCACATTCTTTTTGTGAGACTGCAACAAGTCTTACTAAAGTTCAAGAAGGGAAAATTATTTGATGGGGCCAATTATTATATCTCAAAGTATTTTGTAGTCATGACTCAAAGCCAACCCATATACAAGCTTTAGAAGGAAACCACGAGAAGCCCCTCAGCTATTGTAAAATTCATTAAATATTGACACCAAAACCACAATAAAATCATTAATTTTGCAAAAGGGAAGGTTTTTTCAAGCTACTGACATAATAAATACATCTAATATACTTATTTACAATATTTTCAATATAAAATATGTATCTTCAAAAAAGGCCTCAATTTGTTAATAGTATACCAGATTTCTCATCAGTTCAAGTGTTTGAAATGAAACTAATGGTGATAACATGATATCAAAATCTTAGAACTTGATATCTTGAACCCATGTTTATTTCACTAGTTATTTTTTATAAACCACATTATTAATTAACAGAAACCTATTGCAAAAGTTCAAAAAATGAAGTATATGGAATAAAATGTTAAAATCTCATCATTGAAAATTCCATGTATGCTTCCAGATCTTTTCTTCTATGGTCATATAAATTCACACATACATATTTGTTTCTATTTCCAAAAAAGAGAGTGCCATGACTATAATTTCTGGAACTTTTTCATAATAATGTGACATGGAGAGCATCCAACAATTTGCCTGTAATCTTTTCCTAATGGATATATAATTTATACATATGTTTGCCATAAGTGTGTTCCCTGATCTAAGTGCTAGTTGGAACATTCTGAATATAATCATGAATATGTTCAAGTATTTCTATGTGACAGATTCCTGGATGTAGAATTGCAGTGTCAAATGGTATGTTTAAATTTCATTTAAAAGGGCTTTTCTACATTATACTTCCTCAAAAAGAGTTGTGCCAGATATTTGCTTGGCAAATCATCTGTAGAAAAACTATTTCTTGACTTATATTACATTTCCCAAAGCACCAGTGACATTTCCATTTTTTATATATGTTATTAGCCATTTTGCTTATGTGAATTTCCTGTTCATGTCCTTCAACTATTTTCATATGGTGTTGCTTTACTTTTTATCAGAAATTTGAAGTAGTTTTCACTATGCAATGAATAACAATCCCTCTCCTTTTTTGTGTGCTGCAGTGTAGATTTGAGGAAAATTATTTGAGTGTATATGCATGATTAAACTATATCAATTATGGTGCTACATAAGTTATATGGTGTTTAAAAACTATCAATTACTGAGAATTTGTATGGAAAATCGCGTAGTAAATTTCTCCTATGATTCCCTAAGAATCCAAGTTTTAACTTAAAAATAAATAAATTCATGCCTTAGGCTAGAGAATGTTTGTTGTAAGGCTTGGATTGTGTCTTCTTGAGCAGCAGGGAGGTATGCTTCTCCTGACCTGGAACACTTTGATCGTAAAGAGAGTCCCTCATGTGTAGTTTTTAGGATGGTCTTTAGATTCCTTTGATTTGACAATACTCCATGAAATTAACATAATTTTTGTATTTGTCTTATTGTTATTATGTCACTTATAATGTGCCTAGGTTTAAATAAAATTATTATTATTTTCTGTCATGACAAAGGACTTAATGTTTACACATAAGAGCTGTGGGAGGAAAGGGGCCTTCGGATCCTGAGATAAGAGACAGAAGCATGAGGCAGGCTCCCCTAAGTATGGTTAAATAGAATTATAGGCATTATTTCAAACTTCAACGAACACATTGAATTTTATACCATATCTGTAAGAAGATAAGCAATACTACATCTTGTTTTAAAAGAAACAGGCTTGTATGTTTTCACAAAGTTGCAGGTTTATTAATCCACATTTGAGACCTTTCATCCATTGTCTAAGGCCAATTGTAACAGTGAAAGAAATCAAATGAATATTATTAAAAATCATGAGGAAAACAAAATTAGGTCATGAAATCAAAGACTTTCACATAGCTTAATTGTATAATAGGAAGCTATGGGGTAAATGGAAGTTTTCAACCAGAATTTCCCACCTGGCTTTAATAGTGGTATGCATATAAGGGCCTATTTGCACATCAATGTTTACCCCTGTGGTCCCACAAGGCTGGCCTGGAGCATGGGGTGGAGAGAAAATGGCCATTCTCTCCTCCCCTCCTTTCCTGGGGTGTAATTGGCCAGATGCCCATCAGTCACCAGACACCCACCCATGGACTTCCTCCCGGAAGGAGCAGGGGTAAAGGGAGCACACAACCTGGTCACAGGGATGGGGAACTACCTTGCTAGTGGGGTCAAAGATGAAGGATGGGTGTGGGGGGGTGCTGTGAGAGAGACTGAGCCATGAAAAATAAAAACCCTTTCCCCTTTCCCTGTCTTTCTTCATTATCAGCAGGTTCATAAAGAACTTGCCCAGGGTGGGGGACTGCCTTCCTCCTGGATCCACAGAAGCAGGTTGCAGTTGTTATATGTCTAATTCTACAAACATAGTTAAGGAGTGTTGCTGAGGACAGATGCACAATAAAAATTATCAATTATTGAAATCTAATTATTGAATGCTTTCCTTAGCAAAAGATAAAATTATAAAATTCTGGACCAAAAGGAAATTAAAATATGCTGAATTTTTGCACAATAATACTGATGGGGTGAATAAGGCTTTTCTGTCCTCCTGCATGGTTGGAAATACAGTTAAGCTCACTTTTATTGGTATACCTTCCAAATTAGAAGAATAGTTTTATTTTATGCCAGTTTTTTTCTCTTTAGCATGACATATTTCTAACTCTTAAACAAGTAGTAAATACCTTGAAAACAAATTTGATCTGATAAGCTAAATTGTGAAAAGTCGTTTTATCGCAGGAGGAAGGGAACCTTACATCACAGCTTCTTGCTGGAATAAACTGGAGGAGGCCCATCTGTGAGTCATCCCAGCTTCCGGCCTCACAAACAACTACTCCTTTTTTTCCTTCATTCCTATTTTAGCAAACTTCCAGCAACAAAACAGACAACATTTTGTGATGACAAATAGAGCAGTGGCCACACAGGCCAGCAGGAACCCAATCACATCCAGGGAGTGGTACTGGAACCAGGTGAGGTCATGGGAGGCTGGCCGCAGGTGCTTGGCTCCTTTGTGGCGCATGACAAACTCGATCCAGAAGACCGCTCGGTCGAGAGGTTTCATTGGCTGGTCATGATGAATTCTTGATAATCTCATAGCATTCTCTTTATATCTGCAGGGGAAATACAAAGATAGCAACATGGAAAGGAACTTAATTTCCCTAAGCATATCATCCCCATGAAAGGTTTTTGAAAAGTATCTTATGAATGATTCAAAATAAGTGTTATAAAATTGCAGAAGTAGTACATTTTTAAGTTGGGTTTGGCTTTCAAATTGGAATTTTCTGATTAACAAATAATAAAAAAGTGAAGACAAAGTGAAGATGGGATCGTTTAATCTTTTCTAGCAGAGGTAATGGTGAATGAGACGGTGAAAGTGCACTGTTATGGTCCTCATGAAGCACTTAACATGAATTGTGTCTTGATGGGTGAAGTGATTCTTCACCAGTCCCTATGCGTCCACTCTTCTCTTCTACCCCTTCTCCTTATTTTCCGTCCTATAAACAGTAGGCTCTTTGAAATAGACATCAGATTATGATGCTCTTTGCTAAAGTTTCCATCTGACATTTCATCACACTTAGACTAAATTCCAAATCTGTTCTTGGCCTACAGGACCTTGCATGGGCAGACTCTGCCAACCGCTTCTCTGATCCTTGGGTCCACGCACACTCTCCTGTGGGCATACTGGCCTTCTCACTGTGCCACTCTGTGATGGCAAACCTAAGCTTCCTTCCATTGTGTGTCTGTGCATTCTTTTTTTTTTCTACTTGATTCCTAGAGTTTTTTAAATACATTTTATTTTCTATAATAAACATTTAAGTATGAAATACATAAGAAAAATGCACATAAGCCTAATTGCCCAAACTTCAGAATTGGCTAGAAAATTATTTTGAAGTGAATACACTAATGCTCCTATTATCAAATATTGAAATAGGATATCACAAGCTACCCAGAAGCACCCTGTTTTCCTTGGCACTTTCAGTCACTACTATCTTCCCTGAATTAATGGGTATCCTAAATTTTAGCACCATAAATTAGTTTCTCATATTTATATTTTGGAATCATATAGTAGTACTCATTTCCTTTTGTCTTTTGTGTGTCACCTGTTAGTTAATTCCATTGCTCTATAGTATTCCTTTGCATGGCCATATCACCAATAATCTCTTGACTTACTGAACAACAGACATTTGTGTTAACAATTTTTTGGCCATTATTAGTAATTACTATTACTATACTAATTACTAATAAAAATCTTACATATGTCTTCTGCTTTTCATATTTTTACCATTCTGTATATATCTAGAAGTGAAGTTGTTGAGAAAAGGCATATTTATGATTATGATATCTTTATTGACTGAATAATGTAGAAGTATTTTAATTTCCAAAATTTAGAGATGTCTTAGCTATCTTTCTTTTTGATGATTTCAAAGTGAATTCTAGTAAGCTGGACAATATACTCTTTCTGATTCGTATATTTCAAAGTACTGAGTCTTGGTATATGAATTAGCATATGGTCAATTCCAGTATCTATTCCAATCTTGAAAAAATGTGTATTCTCTTTAGCTTTATCTATATCTATAACTATATATCTCTCAACGAATTTACATTTTTAAATTGTGTTCTTCAAAACTTTCAGATATTTATCCATTATTTTGACATTTTTTTGTTTATATTTTTAAGGAAGGTGTTTAGAATCTATTATGATTATGATTATACATTTATCCATTAGTTTTTTCTTTTGTCAATTTTTGCTTTATTTTGAGGTTTTATTAGTAGGTGTTTCCAATTGATAAATTATATTGCTTTGAAAAATTTATCTATTTATTACTGTGAAATATTTTTTTTTTATTTTTAGTAGTGTTTCTGGACTATGATATCTGATATTATTATAGATACAATATCTTTGTATGATTATTGGCTGCATAGATCTTTTCCTACCTTCATACTTATAATCTTTTACACTTCTATTTAAGCATATATTATAATCAGTATATATAGGTTTTAAGATTATGTCTGACAATATTAAATTCTCTTTAAATGATTTAACCTGTTTAGATTTAATGTAAGTACTGACATATTTACATTTTCATTTACCAGTTTATTCTGTTTCTTCTTAATTTGTCCAACCTTCCTCATGCTTCTTTTTCTGTTCTTTCTTGCCTATTTAAAAGTATTTTTATCTTCAATTATTCTACTATTTTCTTGATAATATACATTTTTTGAGCATTTCTTAAGTGTTAACTTCCAATACAATAAATGCTGATAGCAGTAATAAATGCTGAATTGATGGTTGTGATGCTAGGCACTACAATTTCTACCACCTGATTTTTCTCTATAATATCGAAGAGTGTAATATCCATCTTATCATATTTAAAAACTTTTATGCTTCAAAAGACACAATCAAGAAATTGAGAAACCAAACTATCCAGAATGAGAGAAAATATTAACAAATCATATATCTGATATATACTTGTATCCATAGTACACAAATAATTAACTTTAATAAAAAATAAGACCACCAAATTCAAAACTTATCCAAGTATTGGGATAGACCTTTCTCTAAAGAGAATATATGAATGGCCAATAGCATATGAAAAGATGTTCAATAGCTTTTGCTATAAGGAAGATGCAGATCGAGACCACAAAGAAAGACCACTCAACCCACTAGAATGCAATAATAATAATAATAATAATAATAATAATAATAGTGATAATAATAATAATAAAAGATAGATGATAACAAGTGCTGACAAAGTATGGATCTCTCATACATAGCTGATGGGGATGTGAAATGGCAAACTCTTCTTTTGACATAAGTTTGGCAGTTCCTCAGAGTTACCATATATGACCTAGCAATTCTATTTCTAGATATCCATCCAAAAGAAATGAAAGAACATATGTTCACACAAAAATGCGTATACCAATGTTGATAATAGCCACATGGAGAAACAGTCAAAATGTTCTTAAAGTGATAAATGGATAAATAAATGTAGCATACCCATACCCTAGAATATTATTCAGCAGTACAGAACTACCACGTGGATAAAACTGAAAAACATGGTAAGTGAAAAGAAGTTGGAAAATACCACATATTTTTCTTTCCATTTGTATAAAATGTTCAGAATATGGTAATTTAAAACTATAAGAAAGTACAATAATGGTTGGCTATGGCAGGGAGAATGGAGAGTGACCTCTAAGGCACATGAGAATTCTTTTTGGGCTGATGAAAATTTAGATTATAATGGTGGTTTCATAACTTTGTAACATACAAGATACATTTGACTGTTACACATAAACATGGAATTTTATGGTATGTAAATTACATATCATTATAAAATATATTAAAATAATGATAAAAGTTATTTAGCAAGAAACGATTTATAATTTCAGCAAGTTTTGGTATTGAATTGGAACATTTTATATAACTGTAAGTTCTTCATTCTTTCATTCTGGATTCTATAATATTTTTATAAATGTTTCTTTTTACAATTACCTGTATAACTTTTGCATTTGTTTCTGTAGGAAGTTGTTGTACACATTGGTTACTCATTAAATCTTGGGCTTAACATGCAACTTTGAAATGAACGTCTTGTTGAAAGTAAGAGCAGATTTAAGATAGGTGACATCATGTTAAAGTTTTCAAAATTAGCTTCTTAAATATAGGATGAAACTCATGCTCACTTTTGACAAAAGAACCTATCTGTATATACTATGTATTTAAAAAAATTGTGATACTCACAAAGGGTCATTAATCACTCTCTTCAATGCACTGAGCAAATCTGTACTAGACAGTGTTCTCAAATCCAGTCTGACAGCCGCTCCCTTGATCTCTAAGCGAGCAATGTTATCAGGTTGATCTCCAAACAAAGGAATGCCCACTATCGGGATCCCGTGGTAGATTGCCTCATAGATGCCGTTGGCTCCACAATGAGTTATGAAGGCTTTGGTCTTTGGATGACCTAGGATTAGGTGAATTTTAGCAAATTATAATTATGAATCTTAGAAATAAAATGAGATTTGGACAATAGAAGGCACTGAAAGAGGCAGTGTGTTCTAGATCACAGGTTTATATACACAGGAAACTGCATTAAAATGTTTCTCAGATCTCAGAACAAGAAGCACATAAGTCTGCTGGAAGATAAATGAAGATTGATGTGGTACTTGTGACTTAAAAATGAATACAAGATTGTGGTGGACAAGTTGAAAGAGAACATTTCAGATATAAGAAACGTGCAGAGAAAAAAGGAGATGGCACATTAGGACATATTCTCTTAAAGAAATAGTGAAGCCACTGAGTCTGACATACAGGGTGTCAAGGCAGCTGGGAATGTGCCAGTGATGGCTCTGGAATCAGAGGAAGGAAAGGCTATAGTTTAATCTGAAATGTGTTATCACTTCATGAAGATTATGGATATTTTCCTATAGAGAATGGAGAATCACTAGTAGTAAAGGCGGCTTTTATTTTTCATGGCCTGAAATTCCCACAAAGGGGAAAGGATAGACACAATGTGGGAGAACTGGGAGCCAGAGTAAAGATCCATGTGACTATTGAAAAATTCTCTGAGAGAAATAATTATACCTGAAATAAGAGTACTGTGGTTCTGGCCATAAAGAGACAGTATAATTAATGAGACTGTATAATACACGACAACAGTTATAGCTTATCCTTTTACCCCTAGGACTGAAAAACAAATATATGGAAGTTAAGTTTTGTTTTTGAGTTTTTCAATAATTAATGTTCAGTAAATTTTTTCCTGGTGAACTATTATCACTGGGTGGAGTTACTGTCATTTCAGAGTTTGTTTTTTCAATTCTTACCGAGTAGGTCATTCTGGGGGATCCACTTATACAGCCGAGTATTCTGCCCTAAGGTATCTGGTGTTTTGCCATCAAATCTCCACAGAACCTTTTTGGGTAAAGAAAATTACCATATTCTATGAGGTAAACATACAAGTTATACCATGTGAAAATTCTAAAGAAATTAAGAGAGAATCTAGTTAAATAACTTACATAGATACATAAGTGGTAAGGACAAAGTGATGTTAAAAATGAGAACTATAAAACACTGATATAATAGGAATATCCAAATTTTGCATTCTTATTTTATATTCAATCAGGTTATGTACACAGTCATGATGTTTCACACATAGAGGTTAGGCAACTGAGATTATCAATGAGAAATCAAAGTATTTAAGACATTTTTAGGTAGTCATTATAATTGTAGTACAAAAAAGTACTAAGTTACTAAGATCTATACATTTTTTTTATCTTTTCATGATAATTGCTCTTATCTTCCAATGTAACAATACTTTTTTAGTGTAACACACAGAGAAGAGTTCACTTATATCCATTTGTTCCATAAGTTATTTTATTAGTTTTACATTTTTGATTTATAGAAAGGCTAATTTGTGGAATCTACTTCTTGTGAGAAATAAACAATTCTGTTTATTGATAATTTATTAACCTAAATAATTTCTCCTTAGTAAGTGCATCTATCTTCTTCTAGATTATTAATTGTTAGGCACTACTTGCAAGAAAAATTTAAAGAGGTGATTATCTACATGAATCCAGAGTATCATTACTATTTTATAGGTGTGGAAATTCTTCAAATGTAGATAAAAGAGCCTGTCAGTACTTCATATATAACAGTATACCTGCCACAAAAAATCCAAAGCTGTGATGATGCTATAGTTCATTCAACTAACTGCTCACACCTCAGTCATGTACTACAAACCACTGACAATGCTGATTAATCTGGGACCTACAGCCAAGTAATTTATATGCCCTGTGCCAAAACAGGTTCTCATTTTGGAGTTCCCCAGTGGTCCTCTTAAACTGATTTATAATTTACAGTCGTAATAGATATTTGCTATACGAATTTTTAAGTAACTTCGGATTTTCAACAGAAAATTAGCATAGGTGATAAGGAAAAGCTGTTTCAGTTTGGAAAATAGAAAAAGGTCACAAACACCCAATAGAGCAGTTATAGTTTATATATCAGAAAAAAATAAAATGCTGTCTTATGGAGAGGTGATATCTGAATCTTTTCCAAGTTAAGCTTGCTTCTGGTTGGCTCCTTCATATATTCTCTTCTTCCTCAAACAAGAGGAGTTGTTATTCTGATAGGTTAAAAGCAGTGTCCTTTCCAGGGCCACATATTAGTAAGCATGGGGTCACCTTGAGGGTGGAGCTATGTCCCTCCTTCTCATTTACCTTCAACCTTCCCTCTGTATAGGGCCGAGTCCACCAGGGCATGTCAGTTTTCCTCTCCTAAATCATCGTGGCTGGATGGTTACCTTATGCAGCGTGGTGAGCCCTGGCCATCCTTTCCTGAATAGGACCCTGAAAAGCACACTGAAAGGGCCTATTCCAAAATTTAGGGAAAATAAGAAAGGCTGGGATGACCTGGCAAACCTAAACTGCATGACGCCTTTCAGACTTTATCATTTTGTGTTTAATGTCACTGCTAAGATTTAACACCTTTCTGGGTACATCTGTAGTGTGTACACAACCCTCAGGAATATTGTAGCAAAAAGAGACAAACGATAGGATAGAATTCGGTGGTATCCGTCCGTACCTGCCTACAATACCATTATAGTAGCAAAACTTCACAACACAACTCTGAAATATGTATTTTCGGTGATCATAATGTTAATGCCAAAGTTATTGTCAAAAACACCCTCGGTACTACTTTAGCACCTGCCATGAATATCTCAGTTTGACCTCATACCTGACATGAACTGGAGCTATCATAAGGTTGAGGTGGCATGCAGGAAATTTCTGTAAGAAGGCCCTTTACAGAGTTGAACAGACTCATTAGGTAGTTGCACACTATTAAGGCCCATTATCTAACCTTTTGTGGAATCTGGGCAAGGGCTGA